CACTGTACGCCAAGGGGTGAAAGTTTCACCGACTTCACCACAACTGGCCACCAGTATTCTCAAGATCTCGTCCTCTCCTTTGACACAATTGGTGATCTCAAGTGTCCAAGGCGACAACAGAGCCGCCCACTGTCCCAGACGTCCTTGTAAGGCTGTGGATCTGAAAAGCCAGACCAATGTTGAGTGTCGGGTCAACACATGGATCGGACGCCTGACTAACGCATTATAGATAAGGTCCAGGATCCTCAGAAGGGCTAATACCTCCTTCTCCGCGATGCCTTAGTTTAGCTCATTCAACTTCAGAGTACGGCTTGCAAACATCACGGGGTAATAGATCTGGTTGTATTCCTGCATCAATGATCCCGAAATGGCCTAATCACTAGCATACACCACAACGATGGCCTTCCGATCTGAGGCAAAGTGCCGTAAGATCGGAGTTGTAGCGATCCTAGTTTTAAGCGCACTGAAGGACCGCTGGGCATGAACCCAGCGCGGATCTACCTTAGTAGGATCTGGTGCCTCCAGATCTAAGGTCTTTTGGTAGTCGCCACCCTGATCTTCCCGCGATCTTGATCGATCTATATCCTCTTCTTCCAATACTTGTTGGATCCGCAGTTGGGTAGCTTCCTTCATCATTGCAGCGAAGTCGATTTCCCGTAATTCATACAGAACTGACGCGTAGATCGCGTAGGCTTCGATAAATCGGCTGTAATAGTTCAGACTTCCCAAAAATGACTGCATAGCCCTGAGTGATCCTGGAAATGCTAGATCCGTCAATGCCGACAGATCTTTCGGGCTCGCCTCCAGTCCACTGTGGGAGACCTTATGACCCAAATATTCCACCTTAGCCATCCCCCAGAAGCTCTTAACCACGCTGATCGATAGATTCCACTTACCACACGCTTCGAGTAAACCTTCGACTCGGTCACATAGTTGGTCCCAGTCATTGGCTGGAATCAGAATGTCGTCGATATATGATCTACGCCCAAGCACCGATGGCTAGCCTGGCTCCACCGATTCCCCGTCCTCAAACACATCCAAAGTACTTTCGTGATTTTCAGACTTCGGGATCCGGGTGAACCCATTTAGCGCGTTGTCAATCATACGTTGATAGATCTGGGGGCGTATTCTTCAAACCAAAAAGCATTCAATTCCATTCAAATAACCCGAACGGCGGGATAAAAGCTGAGATCAAGCGAGCACGATCCGTCATTTTCACTACCCAAAATCCGCTCGCCATATCCAACGAACAGTACCAAAGTGTCGACTCTAGATCTTCAAGTAAGTCGTTGATCAAGGGCATTGGTTAGATCATCAGTTGAGTTAGGCTGTTAACCAACCGATAATCAATGCATAGCATGATATCCACTCCGTTCTTCTTGATGATCACCGCGATCGGGGAAGCCCACGGGGATCTAGAGTAGTTGATTATCTTGGCAGACAATAGACCCTTGATCAAGTCCGCCAGCTTCTCCCTGAACTGGATCCGCAACTTACGACACTTGAGGGCGATAGGGCTCGCTCCCCCGACATCGATATCGCACACCACACCTCTAGCTGCCGGCGGAAGAGCATTTCCCTTGCCGATCAAGAGATGTCGGAACTTCCAGATCCTTTGACAAAGCCGATCAATTTCTTCTGGGGTCTGATTATCAGATTCGCATAGCTGAATGGCTTTGATCCACACATCTTCCGTCGTCACAGGCACTTCCGGCAATACCGCCATCTGATCATCGACGTCTTCGGCATTTCCTTCATGGTAGTACACGCACTCATCATAATCCTGATCTGAATCCCAAGTAAGGTCTAGATCCGATGTGCCTGGTTGATCTTCGACAACAGGTGATGGATCCACGTCCATTTTTGCAACATAGATGCGGCGCACTTGCCGTTCAACGGATCACCGGCCACATGCCCTATCCCAGGTTGTACACTCATCATTGATGGCAGATCCGGTCCGCCGCATTTCGGCGACGATGTTCCTTGATCTTGGCCTCCCGAATGTAGTTGATCCTGACTGACGCCCTCAAATTCATCTCGGTCATCCTTTTCTCGCATTCCTTCCATGTCTGTAGTTTCCTCACCAACGGATTAGTCGCCCATATGTCTGCCGTTGCTTGATCGAAATCTTCTAGCGCCTTATTGACCGTTACAACATGCAATATAGAGTCTTCGTCTGCAATAGACGACAGATCCGGCTCCTCACTTGCGACAGATGCTAGATCCAACGGTCGAATCTCCGACGGCGACTTATCCACGGCTACCCGTCCGAGTGTGGGCAGTCAGGAATGTCTTGATCCTGACTCGCCTTGACCTTCCGACGCTGGATCAACGCCGTCTTCGGTCTTGGGAGTATCATGCGTGGAGTTTCATACTCAGGCCGCTCCACCGCGAGCACCAGCGCGATCTTAGCCCCCATTCCTTCAGATCGGGTGTCGGTTGTCGCTTCCTACGCTAGATTCTGCCACTCCATGTAACGACGAGATCCGATCGAGATAAAGACCCGCATCGGCAGCACATGACCCCCAGCCAGCCAGATCCCGATCCGTTGGTCTTGATGCAGCATCAACACCTCGTCCCCGATACTGGTGATCGAGATGTATTTCGTCCTCCCTGGTCCACTGGATATTGTCGGCACCCATTGAT